GCTTTGCTAAGCTTGTTCCAAGTAGGTGCTTTAGACCACTGAGCCATCTCACCAGCCCCCTGAGACATGATTGTTCTGTCCAGTTATATACTTGCTTTTGGGGGTGTCTTTTAACCAGAATTCCCACCCCTGTATTCATTTTGTTTTATATTCAACTTTACCTCTTGTGCTAAACTTCAAAATTTGGAAGATCCCCAAATTCTTGCCTTTGCTGACATTATTCCTACCTCAGAAAAGCAAAGTTTTGTAATCCAGGCCCAATAGTTAAGTACAGGCTAATACTATGTTACCTATAGTGTAAAATTAGGCCATTTTAGATAAGTCACATCTAAAACCCAGAACAGTGAGAGGCCAGGCATGGTGGTACATGACTGTAGTCCCAGTTCTTTGAGAGACTGAGGCAAAAAGATCATAAATTCACAGCCAGCCTTGAGCAATACTTTTTAAAATAGTAAAAAATTTTATTTTATTTTATTTTTATTTATTTATTTATTTATTTTTTCTGGAACCGGGGATTGAACTCAGGTCCTGGTGCTTGCCAGGGAAGTGCTTATTCTACTGAGCTAACTCCCCAGCCCAGTAAAAAATTTTAAAGGAGTAAAAAAAATTGTTTTCTTTTCAAATCTTTTAGTCTCCTGATTCTACCCGGGATGAAGTCTCAGATACTACCATATTTTAAAACTTCTTCAGTGGGGCATGTTAGCACACACCTATCATCATAGAACAGGAGAGGCTGAGGCAGGAGGGTGTGAGTCCATTACCATCCTGAACTACACTGCAAGAGTCTGTCTCCAAAACAAAATAAAAATCCCTTTCTTTTTCTTTTTCTTTTCTTTTTTTTTTTTTTTTTTTTTTTTTTGTGGCAGTACCAGGGATTGAACTCAGGACCTTGTGCTTGCCAGTTGCCAGGCAGGCACTTGTGCCACTGAGTTATAGCCCCAGCACCACCCCCCTCTCTTTATTTATTTATTTATTATTTATTTATTTTTAGATGTAGTCTTTGCATATTGCCCAGGCTGAGCTCCAGGACTCATAGGATCCTCTTGCCTCAGCCTCCCAAGTAACTGGGGCTGTTGGTGCACATTGATTGTCATGTCTGACTTCTTACTCTTCTTAGGGAATGCACCAATCCTTTGGCACTAATATCTGGCTGAATTTTTTTTCATTTTTATTTTATTTTTTTTTTAA